ATAAACATAAGTTCAAAATCGATCCTCTGTTAGCAATTAGACATAGTCGATAAGGTTCAATAGATAATTATAAAAAAAACCCCTAAATACCTATATGGGCCATGACGAGCGTAATATCAGTACACACGTGATATATGAGGATGATGTGCAGGTTAAATGATAAATTTAAATTCGAGCTCGATCCTTCTATACGAGTAGATATGAGCCGACATAGCTTGAACTAGCAAACAAATATGATCATGGTGTCAACTGAGATATTTGTTTTAATATGTTCAAATTAGGCCTTCAAGATCTATGAATAATGAAAATTCATTAATAAAAGTATACAGCTGACAATAAACCTGATTCTCAATCGACAAGTTGATGGAGTCGATAATGTTCAATCAATAAAATACAAATGCCCAGAAACTCATCGATGATGATAATGTTGAATTTAAATCTCAATTGAAAGGGTTGATTCTCAAGAATCTATTGAAAGCACCAAGCCTATAATGAATATGATCCTCTATCGACAAATAAGACAGAGTCGACAAGGTTTAAATAATAAAATAAAAATTACACATAAGTACCTCGATGATGGCATATTGAATTCTAATATCAACTAGAGAGAACCACAAACATATAAAATACCTTCAAATTCCCATGAAAATTCAAAAATCCAAAAATATCAAAATTAAAAAATATATATTTAAAATTAAAATCGATCATCAACCACTCAAAACAAAACTCATCCATCCCTCGCAATAGTTTGCCAAGATGGACAAATTTGAGAATATATTTCAGGTCACAAAGTGCTAGTTTTTGGTCAAGAATATCACTGAAATTCATTCTCAAATAATCTACCGCCAGTAAGAAGTAGCATGAGTCCTCTAACGAGCGATTTTGATGCTAAATGGCAACGCAGATAAACGATTATGACCAGGGCCCTCTAAACTGGGTGGTTTGCCGCCAATGTTACCACTAAATTATAGTCATGGTCAGAGCTTGTATACTCCCCAATAGCATAAAGCCCTCTATTAGCCCTCTATTAGAGGTGAAGTTCAGCTCTATTAGCTAAGGTGGATTGAAATTTGTTATGCTTAAAAAACAGATCAGATCTGTCGATTCGACTGGTTCAACCGTGAACCGGCCATAATACTAGTCTGAACTAGTCTAAAAAACCACTTATGCATCAAACAGGATTGAACTAGTCAGAATCGTCTAATCAACTAGCGAACTAACTCCGATCCTTTTGAACTGGCCAGTTCAATTAGCGCAATTTTTAACTAATTAAATAAATGATTTTATTATATAAAAGATTAAATATTAAATAATTTTCATAAATAAATAAATAAATTTTTATTTAAAATATTTATTTTAAATTATAATAATTTTTTTTATTATAAACATTTACCCTAAACCATCATGGCCCACACTCCATGTGAGCTCTTAACACAAAAAAAACTTAAAAAGCTATATATAAAGAAGAAACTCATCACATGGATCTTTCCTTGCAACCATGAAACAAACCATTTATCATCTCTAAGAATTTTTTTTAAACTAATATGCCGGCACCAAAAAGGAAAGTTCTAATGACTACAACCAAATCAAGATTTCTCGCATCACATAAAAAGTTAATTTCGACATGGGTGCTTAGTGTTTCCAAGCATGCAATCTCTCGTACCACATCAAATTCCATATCAAGTGGAAGATGTTTCCAATGTAGTGAAAATAAGAGGCGGGAACAATGAGCATGATTAAAAGAGAACTCAAATAACATCATAATCCTTTGAATGAGACATCTAATGTTTGCAAAATATTTTCTACAACTATAAGTAATGAGTTAAGACCAAAATAGAGCCTAAATTTGAACCAAAACATCACAACCTTTCTCTAGTGGCATTTGAACAAGCACCTTATGTGCACATTTTGGATACAAGATTAAAATGATCACTCATGCTTCTCTACCGTTTACACCTAAAACATCTAAAAGATATAGTATACATCTAATAGTTATGCACTTTAAACACAAAACCATCTATGACAAGCAATAACTATCTACATATTTCAAAAAGGATTAAACCATCACTTGATTCCCAAATGAACACAAGGAAACTAAACAAAAAGAGATATCAGAGAATGACTTTGCCAAGCTCATTTTAACAGAAATTAAACCACCTTGATTTCATTTTGGTGAAGAAATACTAGCTAGATGAGGAGAAGAAAGAAAGCAAGGGTAGAAGAGAAAGAATGGAAGAAGAAGAAAGAAGAAAGAGTAAGTAAGAAAGAAGAAATAGAGGAAGAGGTTACCTGCAGCTTGGAGGAAGTCGGCAAAGGGGCTTCAGCTCTGTCTGGGGTTTACGAACCGGGCACCGAACCGAGGAGAAGGAGATCGGGGTCCGGTTCAGAGGAGGTCGGGACCGGATGGCTCCCGTCGGGATCGGTCTCCCCTAGCTCGCGCGAGGGAGGGAGAGGGAGCTGGAGACCTTCGGGCTCCTTGCTCTGGACGGACCCGAGAGAGAGAGATCCGGAGAGGGGGAGGGGATCCGCCTAAGTTCTGCGAATGGGAGAAAAATCCAGAGAGCGAGAGCCAGAGGGGGAGAGTTCGGACGAGAGGAAGCCGGGGAGCTTTGCCCAGGCTGTGCGAAAACTGAGAGTAGTCCCCTCTCTGGGCCTCTGCGAGCAGGAGAAAAGCCGAGAGCGTGAGAGAGGGAGCAGGGGTTTGGAACCGAGAGATTGAGAGGGAGAGCGTGTGTGAAGGAGAGACCGAGAGATTCAGAGGGAGAAAGATCGGGCTCCGTAACTAGCCGAAGGCTTCGTCCCCTGCATTCTAACGTCTCTCTGCCTCTGCTCGATTCACCAAAATCGCACTGCGACATTCTGCTCTCACCAAAAGTCGTTCCAACTGATCTCTCATTCGAATCTAATCGGGACCGTTGAGGCAACATCCAGATTTAGGAAATCAAATTCGAATTTACTTGAAAGCAGCTTGGGATTTGATTGGAATTGATTTGGGCTAATTTGGGTTAGGTTTGGATATGGATTTGATTCAAATTGACTTGATTAAATAGGGTTGAGTCTAATTAAAATCAAACCGGATCGATTCGAGTTTGATTTGGGCTCGACGAGGTCTAATCAAGTCTATCGAAAAGTGCTCGAGCGAAAATCGAGGTCAACAAGGAGTAGCTCTAGTAGAAGATAAGATTAGAGAGAGTCGCCTTAGATGATTTGGTCACATAAAACGGCGGCCTTCCGATGACCCAGTTAGGAGAGTAGAGGTATTAGATTTGACTTATATTAAGAAAGGTAGAGGCAGACCTAAAAAGACTTGGATAGAAAATTTTATGAATGACTTTTCTTTATTAGATTTAAACAAGAATTTGACTTTTAATAGGACACAATGGAGGAAAAGGATTTATGTAGCCGACCCTACGTAGTGGGATAAAGGGTTGATGTAGTTGTTGTTGTTGCACTAAAAAATTGCTTTAAGAAACTAAAAAAGCTATCACAAATGAAACCCAAATTAGTGGCTTCAATTAATGACTATGGATTGAATACTACACATACGCTAACTAATTGTAATATCTTATTCTGTGAACAAAACATGCCTCATACATTGCCTTCCACCTCATAAACAAGTAGGTCAATGTGGATGCTCCTTCCTGCAACTAGTCTTGACATGCCAATATAGTTGATGTGGATGACAGTCCTTCCATGCTCGCGAAGTTACTGACCGAGATCCCACCGCCAAACTGCTCGTATCGCTTACACTTGGAGATCTTGATGAGAAGATGACAGCCTTTCCACAACGAAAGATTTAAAAAAAAGGAAAGATTAGAATTGTTAAATGCGTTTAGGGTTTAGGTATTCCTTCCTAACCAGCATTTAAGGAATCAAATTAAAAATAATTGATTGGAATATCTCACTTGTTGAAGGAGTCTCACCAGCTGCGGACGTCGAGCTCTAACAGCCACAATCAAAGCAGTTGAAGAGGACGAGGAAGATGAGCGAAGATCTTTGACGTTTAGAGGAGGCTAGCTTGTATTCGAGAGAAGAAGAATGGGAGAGACAAGTTGGGGAAGGCAAGTAAGGGGAAGCCGCAAAGAGGAGAGAAGAGAGACAGATTTGCATTATAGATCAGAAGCTAATCTCTAAATTAAGAGACTATATGGGAAAAGATTATTAAGTGTGGTCATCGAACTGTTCGGAGGTAAGTAAGAACGCAACATGTCTCAAAACACAGCGATACAAAGTAACGATACACAGCGTATTGATGACGTTGCACATTTTGATTTGCCTCTGGATGGCATCTAGTGATCACTCGTTATAATCCCGCATATTTGGGAAAACAATAACAAATTCACTTCACTACTACTTTCATTACTTTTCCGTTACTTTTTCAAAAATTCTATGATGGAAGGCTAATTTTTCAACCTGGGTATCTAAAAAATTAATTTGGGACAACTTTTTACTCAGATCACATCCACAATTTTAATTTGATTATTATTTTTTCATTATTCTTAAAAAATTTATGTGCTAAGAATTTTTTTTTATAACATCAAAAAAATTATTTTCTCTATAACAATTTCACAATCATATGTATAAAACTACAACCTTTTCAAACAAACCCTAATAGCTTTAGCCTTTCTACTTATGCTATTAAAACCTCAATTTTTAGGCTTCGTTTGGGACGGTTTTTTTATTACTTTCTAAAACGGCGTTTTAGTACAAAAATAAAAAAAAAATTGTACTAAAACTCTATTTTAGAAAGCAATAAAAAAGCCGTCCCAAACGAAGCCTTAATCACATGTTTAAATATGTTTTATAAAACCTCAAACAGGATTTTAACAACCGTCTAAAAAGCAGTTCCTGCAACAGAAACTCTTAAAAAACAGCTAAAAAAACTGTAAGCCAAACAACAACAAATAAAAATGTGATAACTTATTCAAAAAAAAAAAAAGAGCTAAAATGTTGTCCCAAACAGCATAAGCAACCCATCAAACCTTCTAATAAAAATGGGATAGCTCAAATCAATAATGAACTTTAACATGCTTAGCTTTGGTCATTTCTATACAATTAGCATAAAGTCACTTTTATTCACTCTTCCTATATACAATAGTAGAACCGCTTAATACTTTACTGAAACCAATCTCTTTCATCTACTAAATCTTCAAGATCCAGCAGATCTCCAGTTATCCACCCATTCTGTTAACATTCTCACGTTGCTGCTGAGATCTTCAATGTGGTTGCTCGGCAAGGCAAGAACTACTTCCTCTGCATAGCTTGATCTTGCCTCTTCATGGAGCACCTGGAAGATCTCGCAGTCGATGTTGTTTGTGAGCTTTGGCCCCATATAACCCCTGCATGATTTTATTTGCAGCATGAGAAGATTAGAGAGACTCGTCTTAGATGGTTTGGTTGCATTAAACGGAGGTTTTTCGATGACCAGGTTAGGAAAGTTGAGGTATTAGATTTGACTTATGTTAAGAAAGGTAGAGGTAGACCTAAAAAGACTTGGTTATAAAATATTAGAAATGATATTTCTTTGTTAGATTTAAACGAGAATTTGACTTTTAAGATGACACAATGACGAAAAAGGATTCATGTAGCCAATCTCACGTAGTGGGACAAAGGCTTGATGTTGTTGTTGTTGTTGCTGCTGCATGAATTATCAAAGCTGTGCTGCTTTTAAATAAGTTCGAGAATTACTTAACACCAAACGGTTAGAAAATAATCTACTTAACGTTAGTTTGGAGCAGCTTTCACACCATTGATTTACAGGAAGCTACTACAATCTATCTGGCTATAGCTTTTTTACTGATCAAATATTTTTTTTAATAAGAAATAATTTTATACAAGCAGATCTACAAGTGTGGTAGCTATGTCAAAATTGTTATCTGACTTTTGTAAAAGGAAAAAAAAAATCGATAACAATTATAGCAGTTCCTCAAAAATTTGTTTTGTCACTATAAAATTTTGTTTGGGACAGTTTTCTTACTGCTTCTTAAAGCGACTTTCTAGTATAAAAATTTTATTTGTTGTACTATAAATCTGTTTTAAGAAGCAGTAAGACAGCCGTCTCAAACGAAGCCTAATTCTACATCTACTTTTACAAACATCTACAACCGACCCAAACATGCCTTGAAAATAGTCTTACCTGCTTGTCAAGCGATCATGCAGAATGGTAATATTAGTTTGCAGGACCACAACACGATCAAACCAGTTCTCTGGAAAGAAATCGCAGCCATGATAATCTACAATGTTTCCCCCAACTTCCATCATGTCTTCAAGCTCATCACATACCTACAAAGAAAAAAAAAAAGTTGGGGCATCAACGATCAAATAGATTTGAAAATTGGGCTGAGAGTGTAGGCAAAGAAATGGACAAGGCAATTTCCACATATTTAGGTTTTGTTTGGGACGGCTTTTTTGTTGTTTCTTAAAATAGCTTTTTAATAAAAAAATTTTAATTTTTGTACTAAAAAACTGTTTTAAGAAGCAACAAAAAAGCCGTCCCAAATGAAGCCTTAGGGGACATCCTAAAATGAATTGACAGTTTGGAGTACAAAATAAGGAAAGCTGAAATCCACTTGTATGTGTTATGTTACGACTTGCGAACATAGCAATAGCAATTCAGGAAATTTTGTATTTTCAGAAGAAGAAATGAAAACAAGCATACAGAACTTGTAATAAATGAATTTCTTTATACAGATGTATTAGTTGCTTGAGTTTGAAGTATCCATGAGAGGTGGAGGTTTTGTGTTTTATGAAAGCATGACAAACACGTTTCACATCACCATGACAAACACGTTTCACACCACTATGCATACATCAAAGTATATGCTAGTGCCCAGATTACAGAGCAGAAAAGAATATTTCAATCAGGCCCAAATAGATTTTTTTTTTTTGGGACTACTAATAGATTGAAACGTAATCTTCATGCACAATTTATAATTTTAAATGTAAAAGAATATAAGAAAGATGACTGCAAGGAATAGTAAAACATTAGCTAAAGCACTGCAGATATGTGTCAGATGTAGCAGAAGTGCATTAATCATATGTAGATTGTAGAAATAATTAATTGCATGGAACGTAATTTCTGCTAAAGCGATACGAGGGAGTAGATAAGTATAGAAAAATGATTTAGGAGAGGATACGCTTTTCAAAGAAAAAGTTACATCAACAACTCTAGTTGATGCAAGTTAGAAAATAGCCTTCAAAATGTTGATTTACAGCAATAATTTAGGGTTTTGGAAACTATGCATGCAATTGATACACAAACCAAAAAGAATGCATGTCAATGGAAAGATGCACTTCCTAAAATCATGACTGGAAAGTCGAATCAGAGTTGAGCATGTATACTTGTACATGTTCATGTATGTGTTTCAAGGGTACCTAGTAAGTTCCAGTAGGAGGATTCGTCCAAAACAGTCACATCCTCTGTACAAGGCACTGGCCAGCAGGAGCGAGACTCACCCAAATCAATTGGACCAGAATTCGGGCATGTGCATCAAAGAACTCGTGCGGATTCTCCCAAGGCTCAAGAGAGCACACGCCTAAATGGAGATCAGCCTCCTGAGGCCACTCACTATCATAAAAGCAGTCAAGCCACCACTGATATCCTCCAACCCAACTGAAAGAAATGCATAATTAGGGTTCATGACAATGATCACCTAAACTCAGGTAGTCCTCAACTCGTGATTTTCATCACCTCAAAAGTGTTGCCCATCACATCGATCCAAGGAATTGACTCGCCCATACAGACTCATCCTACATGATCCTTTCCAAAAATTCGCCAAGTGCACTCATCAATGAAGACACTAAAGGACCCTATCTAGGAGTAGGACTGATGAATATATAGAAGATACAAAGCCACATCAACACCTATAACATATGAGATGTGTCATGTATAATTTGTGATGGGTCATAATTAATAGTATACTCAATTATTTATTCTTTATTATGTGAGCCTTTTTTATGGCCCTCTATGCCCTATATATAAAGAGCGAAGAGATGCATTTTCCATCTTTTGACAAAATATACAAAGATTCTTTGATACTTTCTAGAATTTGGAGCATGCTTCACAACCTCGCTCTCTTCCACCCTCCATATTCATCGAAGTCTCATCATATTCTCTAGCTCTTTCCTTAAACTTTACTTATTAGTAAGGTTCCGTCTCATCCACGGATTGATTTGGATACAATATCCGGAAAGGAGAAGTAAGCGTGGATTGATACCACAGACAATAAGACAATCACATCATGAAGATTAGTCGAACCTAAAGTCATTAGTGAATATGAATGCCCCAAACGACACTAACCACTGTGATCTCAAGAAGATGAAGGAAAGGCTCACAAAAATGATTTAGGATGTACTTCAAGGATTACCAAGAAAAGCTCCAAGAGGGATCATACCAAAAGGATCATTTGACTCGAGTGTTCATTGAAGAATGATGAAAATCAAAGAACTCACCTCGACACCAATGTAAAACCAATTCACACCCAAACCAACAATGAAGAGTACTATCCTCCTCAACGAGTAAGGACGGAGCCCAAACTAACTGTTGTATTTTTTTAAGAGATCACAGAGATGAGGATGCATCCAAAGAGGAAGTACTGATTTGTCTAATCATGTTACCTACTTTGAGTCAATGATGTTGCTGCTTAACATTGACAACTCCTTGAAGTATCAATTATTCTTTAACACCTTTAAGGAGTCGGCACTCCGATGGTTCGCCCATCTAATCTTTATGCTTAATTACCTATTTTGCATAATTCAACATGATGTTTATAATCCAATTCGCTAACACTCATAGGCCCCTCAAAAGCTCACAAGCTCTCTTGAAGTTGCACCAAGAGCCAGCGAATCTTTAAGAAGCATCATTGTTCAATTCCAGAAGGACATGCTTGTAGTGAAGGATTTAGAGCTGACTATAGAAAAGGTTGTCCTAACAAAGGCTTGAGGGGAAGCCCACAAGGGCACTCGCCTCATCCGCCATGGCCTTCTTTGCTTGCGATCCTGTCATCCACTTCTTCCTGTAACATTTGCAAAGAGCCGCCCTCTCCAGTTGCTTAAAAATGGACATAAGAAGCTTGGTGGGGTCCATTTAAGCCTTCTTGAGCAAGTCAATTATCAATAAAAGATCAATGTCTTATAGCCGTATCCAACAAATTTATGAGGCTTGCCAAATGGGTGTCGTGTCTGATACTTGTCTAGCACTGCATACTTTTTTGAGAAGTTTTGGTGCATCATAGCGTGCTTGTAAGGTTAAGTGTCATTCACGAACATATTCGGATCCACCAAAGCATACTAATTTGTTGCAAATGGAAGTAAATTATATTGAATTGACTGAATCTCTTCCATAAATAACTATTTTCGATAGATATTTGGATCTTTCTTTATAATCATACTTAACTTTTAGACAAACTAAAATGCCTCTAGTAGCCTAACGTAGCAAATCTGCTCTAATTACATTCTCCATAGATACATCGAGCATGATTATTAAGGATGAATGAGTTAAATGACATGAGACTTTGAGTTTAGTCTAACATTGAATAGTTGAAAAATATGTTACTATATTTGGGCCAACTTTAGTCTAGGTTCATTCTCTTACTAATAAATTGTACCAGATTTGATGATTTGATTGGGATCAAGTGGTTTATGCATTTTTTGGCTTCCATGAGTCTTGGTTGGCATCAATAATGAAGAGCATGGTTCAAGAATGGTTAAATCTCACAATGCCTCCAAGTGGTTGAGTGTGCTTTTCATGAAAGATACTTAATGAGCTTTTGTTCGAGGGACAAGAACTACTCTCACATAAAGGGAGATTATCAAAGCACATCAGGATTTGTCAAATAGTTGAAAAATAGATCAATGCAAGAATAACAAGTGGTTTCCAACTTGCCATTCACCCATAGGCATAAAAGTTTTAGGGTACAAATAAGTTTAACCACTAATGTATTTGACCCAACATTAATCATCCTATGGTTCACTCCATCATTGAAAGCCTTTGACTTCCAATAATGCAAAAGATATCAATTGCAAGGACCTAATGGTGATGGGAGTGGAGGAGGAAGAGGAGAGGATGGTCAAGGAGGGGGAGAGGTCATGAAATGTATATAGAAGAAAAAAGTACACAAAAAAGATTCACAATTAGAAAAAAAAAATTAAAGAAGAAAAAATTGCCACCCATCTATAAAGCATAACAAGCAATTGTTCATCTCCATTACTTTATTTGTATGCTTAATTCCCTCTCTCATAGAAAGCCCCTAACAAATCAATTCACCACCTAAGTCCACATTCATCCATCTCTGCCACGCATTTGAAGCAGGATTTTAAGAGGTATTTCTTGGGCTAGCCCAAGGTGTGCCATGGGAAGGGTGGAGTAAACTTGCCTTGGGTGCATGGGGCATGTCTTTTGCGTCCAATCAGTGAGGCACATGCCTCGTGATATAAGTTAACATAAGTTAATTTAATAATTAAATTTTAATCTTTTAAAATAACATTCACATCACTTAAGTAAAAACTTAAGGTAGGATTATCTTCCTTCATCTAAGCTCAAACTAATTAATTTGAAGTATAATTAAAAATTAAAATTAACTTTTTGTTATTCCTTGTACATTATCCATACCACCCAAATCTTTCTTATTTCTATATCTAACCCCTAAGCAACAATAAAAACAAGCCTTTATCCCACTATGTCAGATCAACTATATGAATAATTTTTCTCTATTGTGTCTTATTTAGAGTCAATTTTTTATTTAAATTTAATAAAAAAATCATTTTTAATACTTGCTAAGCAAGTCATTTTAGGTCTATCTTACTTTTCTTAACATATGTTGCATCTACTACAACTACTCTCCTAACAGAATTACGTGACCAAACCATCTAAGACTGCACTCTCTAATCTTATCTGCCACTGAAGCTACTCCAACCTTTACACACATATACATGTTTCGCATTCTCTCTCCAAGTGTGAAGACACTCATCCACCTGAGTATCATCATCTCTATAACATTTATCTTAACTTTATGCTTCTATTTTAAATGGCTAATATTTTGGTCCATAAAGTATTGCATGTCTCACCATTATCTTATAAAATTCTCTTAAGTTTAAGGGATATTTTTCTATTAAAAAAAAAGGCTCGATGCATTGCTCTACTTCAACCATCCAACTTGAATTGTACTAATAATATCCCCATCTATTTCACAATCACTTTGAACAATAGACCTGAGATATCTAAAACATACACTCTTTTAAATGACTTGATCACCTAATGTCAAAATTCCACACCACTAGTTCTATTACTACTGAAATTACACTTAATGTATTCGGTTTTAGATCTACTCAGACAAAAACCTTTAAACACTACAGTTGACCTCCATAATTCAAACTTTTCATTTACTCCCTCTTTAGTCTTATCAATGAGAAGAATATCATCAAAGCATACACCAAGGTATATCCTCTTACAAATGTCTAGTAAGAACATCCATGACTAAAACAAAAGATATGGGCTTAAAGGAAAACCTTGATGAAATCCAACTAAAATAGGAAAATATTTGGTCAAACCACCAAAGAAAAAAAAAAAGAAAAAAAATACTATCTAAGGAACTCATGTATGTGTATAATATGGCATAATCATTGAGAATTTAATGAAAATAAAAAAAATATTAGCCGCAATTTTGTTTTGCTCTTTAAGATTATAGTGATATTATTATTAATAACAATTAATTGTTAATTTATAAATATACAATCTTTCGGTGTTATACAAGAAATTATCTCTTTATTTTTAAATGTGTAGTTAGTAAAATAAAAATCAAATTATGAATGTATTTGAAGATTAAACAAACAATTAAATAAGTAGGAATTTCTTTTAGAATTGAATTGGCATGCATCAACTTGAACTTAAATGTGATTTTAAGGGAGAAGACTTTGAGGATGATGAGCTTTAGGAATAAGAGCTTGAGGAGTGCATAATTAGTTGCCTTGTTTCATTTTGACATCTAATTTGATTTAAATTTATATATGACAATTGAGCTTTAGAGTTTGAATATGCATCATAAGATTATAGACTTTGGAATTTATTTTAATTTTTTATATTTAATCTTTCTCAATCATATTTTTTTATTTAAAATATATTATATAAATATTAAATTCATGGGACTTAGACTCCTTATCTGAAGGCTTATGCCCTATTCCATAATTAAGTAAAAAGCCTAACCTCATGCCTTCACTTTTCATAACATTAATTTAAATTAAAGAAAAACATTTTTTTTTGGAGTTCTTTTTCAGACCTTAGCTCTCCATTTATCAACAAATTTGAAGTATTATTGTGCCATTCACCGGTCGTAACTATTCATATGTTCCTTTCAATCTTCTATCATTGCCTTTTATAAATCATCTATCATACCAAGACTATAGGCTAAATCATATCAAACACTAACAAAATATGCACAGAAACAATCTTGTTTATCTTCTTTAATTCGCCACATTAAAAAAGGGAAGTATCTATTGCATTAGGCTGCCACCTATGGAATGCTTAATAAGGGATTGATGTATATGTAATTCAAAAAGATGCATTCATGCCATGATGGAGAAAACATAACCATTGTTTTAACCTACATAATTCACCAACCACAAGAGCACACCAAAAAACCCGTAACATAATCATCATTAATCTTATACTTAGTATGTGTGTTTAATTTTGTGAATCTTCATTCTTCAATTACTCAAGTCGAGTGTTGCATAAAGTGCTAACTTTATTTTGAGCAAATCTTTTAATAAGACTTGTAGCTTTTTTTTTTTGTAGTTTTGCGAAAACTGCTAGCTATGTTTCCCCTTTTGTTTATTAACATTCCTTCCTAATCCTTCCATAAATTATTAATAAAGTTTCTACTAAGAATGTACATTCCCTAAAACCTAGGTAAAGTTTAAACCATCCTCAATAGGCTTAGCTCCCACAATGTATCTAACTAAATTATTTTCCATATCGCTCCAAATTTTGACACATGTTCAACTTAACATTCTCATTTCTACGACATTTAACTTTACTATTGAAGATGTTTCATTACTTTCATTTTAATCTATATATTATAGCCAAATTAATCATAGATTTATAAAGTTATATTTACATTCTCTATTATATTCTCCTAGTAAAATATCTCATTAGGAACTTTTTTATTGAATACACCTTAACTCTAAAAGTTGTCCTCTTATAAATATCATTCTTCTATATAATAAAATGAAAATACTTATATTTATCAAACTTATGCATCAATTAATCTTCTCATAATATTGACTGACATTTATTAATTTTCCCATCTAAAAATTAGCTCATCAAACACTCAGATCCATGTTCTATTAATACTAAGCCCCCTATCTTATTCAAATTTTCTCCATTATTCCAATTATTTTCCATAATTAAAATCCTTTCTTGCTTTGATTGATCTTCCCATCAAGTTTACAACCTCCATAACGTTATACAGACCTTCACAATCTAATAAATCAGCTTTTAACGATGTAGACTCAATGCCACAACTAGCCTCCTCAATGATCAATCCTACAAATCTGCTATGTTTCTTCCAATTAAATGTAGGGGGATTTACATACATACCACTTTATTTCATGCTATTTATGAAAATCCATCTATTTTCCCAAAAAAACCTAATTACGATTGTCCATTGAGAAGATTTATCAATATAACTGCTTAAATAGTAGTCATCAATCACATCACATTAACCCAATTAAACATCTAACAGCTCACAGAAGGCGAAATAAGCAAAGAAATTGCAAGAAATTGCGCAGCTGATCAATGAATCATGTGCAGAACGTTGCAAACACGTGAATTTGATGTTTTGAATAACATCGAAGAAATAAAATTATCAAAGAAGATCTAAGGTTAGGATTAGAAGCGGACCAGCTCCTCGTTGATGATGAGGCACTCGAATTCTTCGTCCCACCCGTCGTAGAGATGCTTGGCCTTGACAAGCTTGCCTATGTCGATGTGGTGGAGATGCGAGGCGTCCGCGACCAGCGAGCACGTCGTCGTCTTCCCCGTACCTGGCGTACCAGTAACAAGAATGTTCGGTCTCTCCCTGCCGCCCCCGCCGTAATTGCTGGCAACACCGCTGCCATCACTTCCGCCACAGCTTCCGCCACCTTCCATCGAAGATCCGGTAGGTTAAGCGATGAGAGGAAGATGAAGAACCGCTACACGCAAAGCAGATCTCTTTTGTGCTCGGTTTGATGATAGGCAGAAGTATTAGATTCGTGCAGTGGACGAAAGAAGGATTGGATGGTCCTGCGGGCATACAGAGGGCTGCTGATTGTCCGCGGCATCAAGACGGGAGAAGAGATCAAAGACGCCACGCGGTTGAGGGGCCGGGATTCCACCGCCGCGTCCCGCGTTCGACGCTCACCTTAACTAAAAATTTAACATTTTTTTGGAAGCTATTCATAAATTAGTGTTCACTCAAAATTTCTTAAAAAATATATAATTTTAGGTGAACCTCCATTCATATTTTATTTATATCAAATTTAAAATTTGACGTTAAATATTAAAAAAAAAATCTTTTAGTTCGATAAAGAAAATAAAAGAGAGAATTACAAAAAATTTTAACTAAAAAATATTCTATTGATCCACCTAACCAAAATATAATGCAAATATTACATCAGCTAGTGGACCAATAGTTTGGAAAAGGTTTTTTTTTAGATAATAAATTTGAGTTACAAATATTTAATTTATTACTCATCATTGAAACATAAAAGAATTCATGTTATGATTATTCAACAAGTTTTACGCTTGTTGTCGACTATCTAACGCAACCCTTCACTTTTCTCATCCAGGACATAGAACCTGACAATGGTAGTGTTCACAAAGTTAAGTCTTGACCATTAAAAGAGAAACATAATAATAAGTTAAGTTTTGCATAGATGATGATGCTCAGGTGGATGAGTGGCTTTACCCTTAGAGATAGGATATGAACTAAGCATATACATGAAAATGTTGGAGTAGCTCCAGTGGAAGATAAGATTAGAGAGAGTCGCCTTAGATGGTTTGGTCACATTAAATGGAGGCCGTCCGTAAGGAAAGTTGATGTATTAGATTTGTCTTATGGTAAGATAGGTAGAGGTAGACCTAAAAAGACTTGGTTAGAAAATATTAGAAATGATATTTCTTTATTAGATTTAAATGAGAATTTGACTCTTAACAGTACACAATGGTGAAAAAGGATTCATGTAGCCGACCTATGTAGTGGGACAATGACTTGATGTTGTTGTTGTTGTAGTATTGAAAAAATTAAATAAAAAATGCTATTTTCAACTTAAATCAATATACCTTAAAGGAGAATTGATATGCATAACACCTATAACTATATTTTTTTTACATATTTAGCACCTATATTTTATTATTTACTTAACATAACATTTAAAGCTTAAAATAACAACAAAAATAATACCTGACCTAACTTCCATCAACCATGTTGCTCCTATCCTTGAATGTTGTCGCTCCCATCGTTGCCCTAAACAACTGAGAAGTGTAGAAGTCACGACCACTGTATGTATTTGCACCGATAATAAATATTAAAGTTTTAGGTGGTATGCAAGAAAATAGTAAATTTTAGTTTTTAAATATGAGAAAAATAATAATTTTAGGTGCTATGTATGTAAATACTCCTACTTTCAAAATAAACTCAAACCAACACATTTTTGCTGCCACTTTTATGTTAGCAATGAGGCTAAAATGTCTAAAGATAAAGTTTTAATACATGGTTGAGCTTAAATTTAATGGTACCCTCTTATTACACCCTTCATAGGAATATTTTTTGCAGTTTAATAAAAGCTACATCATTCAACTTAATTTTTTGAGAATGATTTGGTCACTTTAATATTATTTTTGTTAAATACTTAAAAAGTTATAATAATAGGGAAAATTTAATTTCTTAGAGTTATAAACTTTTACACAAACATTCTAACGCATATATACAATGTATGTGAAGATAGAGTGAAAAAGTTTAACATCTTTTCTTTGCATAACATCAAGCACAAACAAAGATAAAAGAAGGTTATAAGAGACATTACTATTTTTACATGAAAAAGCTAGGAAAAAAAAAAAAACCATAGTGGTAGGCCCAATTAAAATAATTTCATTCGTGTATGTCATTCATTACAATGACTTCAATTCCTGTAATTAGAGAAATCATTGATACTATAAGGTTGACAATGGGGGATGAAGTATATGATAAAAGTTGAAAGAGCCTAGATGGATTAGTGTTGTTTTCAATAGATTGGTTTTAGTCTATTCAGTCATTCGTCCATAAGGAAATGATACCATGGACAAAAAAAAAATAGTATAATCTTAGTGTTGACCTAAGTCAGAGTTGGTGTTGAAAGCATATATAATCCTTATTAGCAATGGTCTACATAAACATTATGAGTGATAATAAGTGATAAAGTTGAATAGGTTTCAACATTGGTTTTGACGACATGAATTATTATCCTTATAGGCAATAATATGCGTTGATGCAATGAATAAGTTTTATAGGTGATGGCATTATCAATAACATATATTGATTTTATTGGTGATAGTGTGTATCAATATAGTCGATGATGATAGACAATGAAGTTGGTGGGAGTCTACATTGGGGTCAACGATGTGCATTAGCCTTCTATGTGATGAGATGAATTGATTAATGAATATGGGAAGCACTTTGGAAGGATTAGACATTAAAATGCTTATTAATTTAGTTTATTATTTAAACAAAATGATATGAAGTTTTTAGTAGGAAGATAAGGAGATTGGAGGGGTATGATCAAAGGTATGTTAATACTAGTTCTATTTGGGCTAGTTTCAGCTAATTTTCAAGTTCAATTTAGGGAAAAGGCTTTGAGTGGGTAAATAGTTAGAAATGCTAATGGAGGATGAGAGAAGGATGTTAATTTATAATCTAAAATAAATGATAGAGTTTCGCAAGGTTAAAGGCCTTGTAGTGGTATGAGAATAAAACACAAACCAAAATAGCTCTCTCCAAAATTTTCTTATTATTCAAAAAATAAATTTGTTTATTACATGCCAACACTATTTATCAATGGCTACTATAATTTAAAAATAAAAGACAATTTTTGGCGAAATAGAGTAGGTGGCCATTAATGGAGGAAACTGTCCACCTTCTTTAATTCATCTTTCTCTATTAAATGACTAACACATACATGTTTCCTAAGAAAATTCAACCTTCTAGATGATGAATTTAAAATTTTAAATTATTTCTTCCTTTGTAGGCTCTGATAATGGGTCTTAATTGAGCTCTTGCTTTAGCACCTTCTTGGGCTCTTATTTGAGATATTGTAATTGGAACTTTAGCTTCATTTTTTAATCCAATTAATGTGCTACATCATCAATGTTATTAATAATGATGGGAAATAAATTCAACAAGTATTGGCATTTGTGTCAATGACGTGCATTGGCCTTTTTATGTGATTGTGTGTGTCAATATTGTTATCAATGAAGTTGGCAAGATATGGTAATTGAGAAAATGTAGTTGGGTGATAGTATATGGATGATGGTGGTTAGGAATTGTAATATGATGACGATGATTAAAAGATTATAGTCAGGTGATCGTGTTTAGAAGATCATAGTTGGGTGATGGTGGTTGGACAATAGCATTCAAATGATAATAGTTGTTGGTAGTAATCATTGAGTAGTTCTCCCTCCAACACTAAATATAAGTTCATCTTAAAGCTCCAATCTCCCTTTCATATGGAGATTAGGTGTCTCTATATAGTTTTTTAGTGGCATTTTGGTAAATTTAGCCTAAAAATCATAAATACTTAATCAGATTACTCATGTTGACTCTCGTGATTATAGATCAATCTCTTAACATTTAAGTGCCTTGGTGACCTTTGAATTAAGTGATATTGGGCTCATTAGATTTCTTTCATCAAGATGATCAATTTTTGCTATAATCATGCTAATCATTTGTTTCCTTAAATAATATTATGAAGTTTCCAAAAATGTTTCATGTGCTTGATTCAGACTAATTCAGAGTTGAATCATATTACTTTTAATATATTGGGTTTATTTTATCGAGAACTTTAATTTGAATTAAGGATGAAGATCAAAAAATACTTTTCTTAGAAGATGATATTCAACAAAGGTGGATGAGATAGTTTGCTAAGCTTTTTAATGAAGATTATGAAAATAAGATTGACTGTAGTGATCTTGGCACCCTAAATGAAAATAAAGATTTTTGTTTTCTTTGACGTATTAGTAAAATTGAAGTTAGAGAGGCCTTAAAGAAAATGAAGGGTGGAAAGCTGTTGGACCTGATGATATTCCAATAGAGGTGTGGAACTGCTTAGGAGATGAAGGAATTTCTTGGCTTGCTAAACTTTTTAATAATATTTTGAAGACTAAAAAGACGTCAGATGAGTGGAGAATGAGTGTGTTAATTCATATTTTTAAGAATAAATGTGATGCATAAGATTGTGCAAATTATAGAGGAATTAAGTTAATGTGTCACACTTTAAAACTATGCGAGCGAGTTATGGAGCATAGATTACGTCGGGATATTAATGTTTCTCAAAATCAATTTGGATTCATGCCGGGTAGGTCGACTATGGAAGCCATACATTTATTGTCGAATCTTTCTTTATTAGATTTAAACAAAAATTTGACTTTTAATAGGACACAATGGAGAGAAAGGATTCATGTAGCCGACCCCACGTTGTAGGATTAAAGCTTGATGTTGTTGTTGTTGTATAATCATAGTTCAAATAATCTTGAATTTATTTTAAAAAAATTCCAAAAATTATATTGAGATTCATTCTTAATTTGATGATTTTTTTTTTTAATTTAATTAGATGAATTATTTGGTGACATCATTTTGCCCCTACTTTCGAACATCAAAACCTTTTTCATGTAAAAATGCATACTTAAAAAATTATGATTCAAGATTATTATTTTCATAAAATTATAAGATGCAACTAATCTTCAGACATCAATGTGGACCTCTCTTTAGGGATTTGAACTAATTAAAATAACATAAATGACAATTTAATCATTCCATTCATGATGTTTGTGCATCGATCGGAATAAAAAGTACTAAGAAGCTATTTAGTTAGAAGTAAATGGGTGTAAAGTTAAAATGTCTATGGTTGGATGAACTAAATTGTATAAAAGAGTAATATTTGTTAAAAAAAGTAGAAAAAATAGCTTCCTAAAGATTTTTATGAGAAATAAATCTACTTAATGAGCTTACTAGTGAAATGAGTTTTATCCGTGATTACTTCAAGGAATAACTATCTTAACTATTGAGAGAGTTTATCTCCAAATGATTTATTGAAGGAAGAACTTTAGAAGGCCTCTACATTAGGCTACAATAGGTCTACTCATACTTTAAAATAAAGAAATGGATATCTCCACTATAGATATAAATATAGCCTTTCAAATATCTATGGAGGAATGAATCCTTTGACAAACAAGTTTATTGACAACATTCTTAATGTTTTTTAAAGCAATTTTTAGTACAAAAATTTCTTGAACTCAAATTTTTTGTACTAAAAAATTATTTTATAAAAACACTAATAAAGTTGTCCCAAATGCAGCCTCTATTAATAGAACAGACAAAATTTAGTTCTTGAAGATATATAGTTCCAAATTACCTTTATTATGATATTTTGTGCTTGTAATCCTTTTATTTTGTTCATGAAAATAGAAATAAATCATGAAAATTGAACAAATGCCATAGTACCATAACTAATTTTTGGTGTCACAATGCCACACCTTACGGTGGAGAACTTACTGAAATTCTATTAGAGAGCTTAATGCCGAAGTGCTATCTTATTAGCATTACAGTGCCAAATTGTGTTGCGCCACAGTGGAAGATAGTTGGACCGATAAACCGATGTGATGATTGGTGAACTGACGCTTTGATTTAGTAGTTCTGCAATGCCGCCAAGCCAGCATCATAATCTTCATTTTGTTAGTTTATAAAACTATAAATAGTAGCCATATAATTCTTGTAGAAGGGGGAAATTATGGAGTCATTTTGTGTGAGTGTCTGGGCTATCTTAGGGAGAGTGTAACTTATGTTCTTATATATGGAGTCTTGTATTGGAGTGGAGCAAAGTGAATAAGCTCCAAAGCGGTAGTAATTCTAATCCCGAGTCATTTCTAAACATTATTTTGATTTATTTATCTTATTATCTTATGTTTATCAGTTTGTAACTTATTAATCATTTAATGAAATAAATGTTTGTTGTTTTTGCTATGTGTAACATCATCTCCATATATAGCTAAACAAACTCTCTGAATATATAATGATTTGAAAGTCAGTTATTGCTTAGAGTGGATTTTATCTTTAATATATTCATGATATTTTTTATTTCTCCATGCTTCAATTGGTTTATGCATATGTTGTATATAAATTAAAAATCTAATGTGATTTAGGGCATCGATGAAGAAATAGAAGAATAATTAGAAAACTTTAAAAAATGTTAGATATGATCTGATGATTTTTATTAGAGCTTCTATTTTTTATTCTCAGGAATTACAACATAGAAAAATTTTTTATTAGAAAATTGAGTAGTGAGTATAAGCTAAAGCACAAAACTGTGCATTTGCATAAGCTAAATAATAGTTATAACAATGTCATGTTGTGTTTTTGGCGCTATTATTGAGGACACGACTAGAGAAATTATTATCCCTCTTTGTATTTTATATGTCACCTAAATCAAATATTAGTTTAATTTATATTTATATTTTTATTTTTAACTTGTTTTGATATCTATTTGGTTGTTATTGTTCAATATTTTACATTTTTTATTATGTTTCTTGCTGTTGCATGCATAGTGATAAACAATTAGCAAAATTATTGTTTGACATTAAAATTAAAAATACTTTAAGAAAAGTTAGAAAAAAAATTGAAAAAAAAATAAAAATATTTAAGCAAGTTTCTAAAAATGAGCAACCTAGATTGCTTAGGGAATACACCAACCCTATGGTTGAAGGTATTCAACAAAGTATAAACATACATAACAATCAAGCTAATAATTTTGAATTAACACATATCATTACTCAAATGATGCAAAACGCTCAATTTAGGGGGACACCTTTAGAAGACCTTAATTTACATATAACTAGTTTCTTTGAGATTTATGCATCCTTTAAATATAATGGTGTTAGTGATGATGTTGTTAGACTTAGGCTTTTTAATTTTATCATATGAATAAAGTTAAAATGTGGTTAAATGCATCATCCTTATGCTCAATAATAACTTGGAATGAACTTGCCCATAAATTCTTAGCCAAATACTTCCCACATTCTAAAATTGCTAAACTTAGAAATGACATCGCATCTTTTGCCTAGTAGACGTTGAATCTATTTATGAATCATGGAAAATATTTAAAGAATTGTTTAGGAAATATTCTTATCATGCCTTCCTGATTGATTAACCATTCAAACTTTTTAAAATGGCATTATAGATTCTCTTAAATCAATTATTTATGTTGTTGCTAGTGGTTCTCTAATGTCAAAGCCATTTGATAAGGCCTATGGATTGATTAAGGAGATAGCTAACAACAATTTTCAATAGGCATGTGAAAGAATTAATCATATAAGAGTGGATAACATTTATGAATTCAAATTCATAGCACTATTAACTACTCAAGCAGTTATCATTTGTACAAAATTAGATAACCTTGGGATTAATTCACCTCAGAATTCACATGTGATCTTAGAAGAAAATATTCATAGATCTTATAGTTATCAAAATATTTCTATTGTAGAATCAATTAATGCAATTAATAACAAAAAAAGTATGCTTTAATATTTATAATACTTGATGGAGAAATCACCCCAATTTTAGTGGAAATATTAACCAAAATAATAACACTAATTGAAACTCTAACCACAAATCAAATAAGGAATTAGAACCACCCTCCTCAAAATTTTGTTAACCCAAGGCTCAATTAATCCCATGGATTTAACTCAAATAAACAACCTAAGGATAAGCAACCTTCTTTAGAAGAATTAGTTTTGCAAATGGGTATGGAATTGCAAAGTCAAACTGCTACCATTAGAAATATAGAAATCATTTATGATAACTAGTTTGATCTTTAACCAATAGGCCCAAAGGAACTTTACCTATTAATACTAAAGAAAAAGGTAAAGAACCATGCAAAACTATTCAATTGAGGAGTGAAAAAGAGCTAGAAAATATTACTATGAATAGATCAATTTGAGGATGAGGCTATTGTAAAAGAACTAGTATATATGCTCAAACCTAAGGAACAACCATAACCTAATAAAGAAGTAAAAAACTTTGTTGGAGAGGCCACCACCATCATTTCCCCAAAGATTTTTCAGATAGAATTTGGATAAGCAATTCTTAATTTTTTTAGAAATCTTTTAAAAATTAACTATTAATATTCCATTTACAGAAGTCTTAGTATAGATGCCCACCTATGCTAAGTTCATGAAAGACATCTTCAGTATGAAGAGAAGATTAGGAAATTTCAAGATTGTAGCTTTGAATGAGGAATATAATGTAAGTCTACATAAGAAACTTTCTCAAAAGCTTAAGTACCCTAGTAGTTTTATCATTCCTATGGCTATCGGGGATAAATTTTATAGTATAGTGTAACATGATTCAAAAGACTTGATCTAGAAGAAGTCCAACTAACCACCATTTCCCTTTAATTAGTAGACTATTTATTTACCTGTCTTAAGGGGGTAATAGAGGATATGCTAGTTAAGATAAATAATTTTATCTTCTCCGTAGATTTCATTATATTAAATATGGAAGAAGATAGGACGATACTATTATTTTAGGTAGATCTTTCCTATATACTAGTAGGTTCATAATAAAGTGAAAAAGAGTGAACTAATAATGTCTTATGGAGATTCTTTTATGTGAGGATGACATTGGAGAGGGAGATAGAGATTCCATCCCAATAATTTGTGAAGCCCCTAGAATTTAATTTGATAGATTTGAAGTGCTTGATATATCATCCCTTTTATAAAATCCTAATATCAAATTTAGAAAGAATTGTCCATTTTAATCTATTAATTAATTAATTAGATCTTCTATAAATTAATCAACATAAATCAATCCAAAGGAAGCAACTAAATATTATATACATCAAAATATAAAACTATATTCTTCCCTCAAAATTCATATGCAATAGTAAAGAGTTCAATTGATGCATTCATTGCTCATTCTCTAAGCTCTTGACTATAAATGAATACACCTAAAGAAAATAAAAAAATAAAATAAAACATGATTCACTGATTTAACCTCACTCCACTAGATTTTGACTCCTTTAAAATATATAAAATCATAGAGTGAACTAACAACTCATCAAGTTACAAAAACCTATAGTTGAAATCAATGCAAAGCACTAGAAATATTATGCATATAACCATTCAGTTAATATAAGCATGAACATATAATTGTAAAAGCATGTAACAATCAATGAAATAGTAATAGGTCATATGATCAATAAATATCGGTACAACTGTATATCTTAAGAGCAATGATCAGTAATCAATAACAATACATAAAGGGTTCGTAAACTCTATCATTTCTATACACATTAATTATAAAATAGTTTCTATCTCAGTTTAGAAAATTTGTATACCTATCATATTCATATGTATGTCATATAGTGTCTATATTATATAAGTATATCATGAAAATTATGCATATGCAAGCATTATAAGCAAGATAAGACATCCAGGTATCTGTGATTTTTTCCTATATCCAGTCTCATAGGCTAACCCTACAAGAATTTGTTTTAATCATATTAGTCTTATTTCCAAGAATCAATCATACCATAAGTGACTTTCATATCAGAAGTTGTCACTTCTTGTCCATTAGTGTATCATAGCATATCAATCTGTATCCTTATGCCTCTTTTTTTCATATAATTTTGGATTACATCTTAAATCTCATTTTAATGAAAAGCCCTTCAACCCATCCTCCTATACAGGGTAACATATTTCCAACCAACCTAAATTGGTAAATTATTTATGGCTATCCTTTCTTATATACACATTTCACTACAAAATATAGCATAATAAATAAGTGATATTATAATCAATATTTAACTCGTAGCATCAATCTAGTGCATATAAAATGCACATATGAATCATTACTAGTGGCATTCATAATAAAAATAAATATAGCCATTTTCACGTGTATATAACCATAACAAATGAATTATAGTAAATATGCATGGTGTACACTAGTATTATGATATTTTGAAAGTTATTTATTGAATTTTTATTTTTATCTCAATTTCTCAAATTAGAATATTTCTCCTAAAATTTAAAAATACCTAATAAAAATTTAATATATTTATGTCTATATATATATATATATATATATATATATA